TTTGTACTCGAAAACTATTATCTATTTATATATTGTTCAGTGTCTGTGTGTCGGTTTCTCTGTGCCGGATCAAAGGTTAAAGGTCAAATAAGGCTATAAGGAGAAGGCGCAATGGCTATCCTATGAAGGTACCGATCAGAGAACGTCATTAGGACAGGGCTGCCTTGATGCTCTGTCCTGCCCTACTCTGGTAAATTATGTATCAATCCCCAAGTTATAGATGGGTGTGGGTGTAGGTTTTGGAGAAGAATAGAAGACCCACATCTGCTCAGTTCCACACCAACACACCCACACCCAGGAATAAGAATAGTGTAAATTAATTATGATTTTAGAATTGAAGTCGTGGATTTTTTTTTTTGAAAGACATACAGTTTTAGAACATTGATGTAGTTTCATAAACTCTCGAGTGATAACATTTTCCTATAGTAATATTTCTTCTAATTAGCCTATGGAACTTATGCTTTTAGTGATTATTGATGGATAGTTATAAAGTATAATTGTTTTATCTCGGGATTATTCGACCGATTTCATTGGTAATTTTGTGTTCACGAGATCTTTAATAGTTAAGATTGAACTACTCAGAAATCGGTTATATTCAAGTCTTTTGATGGTTAATATATTCTTTTTTTTTCACAACAGATTAATTAAATTAGTATATATAATATTTTTTGATTATCTTTTATGAAATAATAATGTCTTTGATATGATGATTTATATTGATAAAGCCTAGACAGCTATTCAATATTTCAATAATACTATGTATCAGTCGATTGTTCTAGATGACTCGAATGATTATGATACATTAATTGAATCTATGAAACGATTTTCTATTTTCCAGAAATGAAGGAAATCGAAACATATAGAAGAATTTACAGAATGTTTTAAAAAAGTCGATGACTTTCGAGAAATCGAATATATTTCCGAAACGCAAATGATTGTATACAAAATGAAAAGAAAAAGACGGTCTTACCAAACAATAGGTTTGATCAATCAAATATAGAGTGATAAGCTAATAATTATCCAAGTTCTCGGTCTCGATTCTGGTGTTACAAAATGACTCAAAGCACATCTGTGAATATAGATACAAAATATCTTCGGATATCGAGCTAGAATGTGAGAGTATTGTTACTCTTGTTCATGTTACAGAATTGACAAGATCAGTAACTTTTGCTACTTCGACTATCTTCTATACGTTTGTCTCTTCTAGTCAACGAGATTTTCAAAAAATTCTTTCAGTTTCTTAAACATTCAAGTAAGGCATCTTATCAACGATTGATTGAGAAAAATTTATCCTCATATTCTAATGTTTATGAGCCAGTCCATGTTAGACATGGTCGATCTTCCTCAATCGAGATCGTCAGATATTGCTCAATTTAAGGCACACGGTAATAAAATATTGATCCCTCGATTTTTTATGAGCATTTTATGAAAAGTCTTAATAACGATTGTATTCCTCAATGGGAGGAAAGGGCGTCCTACTACAACGATATCTCACGAATGGTTCGATAGTTTTACCTGAAATTTTTTATAGACATATATCTCAGTGAGTTCTATTTAGCATAAAATGTTTGCTTCAAAATATTGAGCTATTGGGATTTGATGAATCACTCAAAATTTGAAAAAAGAAAATTCTTGGTAAATTTTGTACTTAATAAATTTTTATTGAAATGAGCTTGAGTTCTGAAATTTTTATCACGAGTAGAAAACCGAATGATGTATCTCTGCTAAAAATTTCAGCTATCTATACCGTTCCATTGAGTTAGGAGAGTCCGCTCAAAAAACGAGTTTTTGATAAAAATCGGTGTCTTCAAGATAGGCTCTCCCCCAAAATGCGGGTTACCTGTGGAGCTAGTCTTTAGAAGTTGAAAGTACTTTCTGTGGTCTGCAAACCTATTAAAAAATAGCATGGGATCTTGAGAAATGGCGTGCACTTAAGGTCATCTTTCAGAGCTCCAAGCTGAATATGAGCCCTTCTATATAAACCAATCTCGTGAATGGACTATGCTACGGAACTGAAATTTTAGTTATAGAATAAAATCTTATTAAATACTTACTCTGATGAAAAAAATCAGCTTTATAGGTTGTTCCTATCCTTTAGGACACTTTCCATAAAATGGTAATTTTCATCGAAATCACGATTTTTGCTGGTTTAAATTAGCCAGAAAATAATCCTGCAAAATGATTCGAGGAAATTTACTTGAAAATACACAAAATGGTATCTGCTTCAATCAAAGATGCTTCAGTTCGTTCAAAAATTATTATAAAGATTTCATCAGCGGAGAAAAACTCTCTCCAGCGTTAACCAACACATGAAGCTCTCTTGATAGTCATCAAAAAGTTCTCTGAAAATAACAAAACAAAATTTGCAAAATCTTCGTACCCCTCTCCAGGAGTTATAGTGAGGGTATGGGTGTGAGTATAAACAGCGGCTACACCTACACACCCAAAATAAATGATTTAAACTGAAAATGTAAGTATAAATCCTTTGGACTTTTTCGTCAATTCTACTGCGAGAAAAAAAGTGATGGTCACATGACAGAATGAAGCGGGACGGGACACCGGACAAAATGGAATGATTTTTTGGCGTCCCACAGAGCAGTGCTTTATCATCTTTGATTTCGCTTAGTTGTTAGATCACTTATTAAATTTTCCACTGTAGTAATTGTTATTATATTTGTCTTAGTCGCAGTCTATAAAAACCTATAAGATGATGCAAGATATTGGAAATCAATTTAAAAACATCTGCAGTGTTTAGAGTTTTCTTCGTAAATTGCAATAAAATTGAATGCTGTTATTTTTATTGAAGGTAATAATTTTCAGAGATGTGATAAGAAGCTGGTTCGTGTAATTCAAGAGAGAAAATACTGATTGCTTCAATATGATCTTTACAATCAAGTATTTCGTGAAAAACAGATCTTTTAACAAAATAACTATCATGCTTTAGAAAGGACGTTATATTGAAGTTGTTAAACATCCGGTGACATGAAAATATGTTAATTCGTTAGATCTCATTTCTTTTCTGAATCTTTATTCATGATTTGTTCAAGTTTTGAAAGAATTTTGTCTGAAAAGCATTATGATTGAATGAGCACCATTTAACTGTTTTTTTTTTCGATTACATTCCAAACGTTATTCAGTCATCAAATGCATTCAATTAATATAGACATAAATCTCTGTTATCCTCGGAGCTCGTAATTGATGAAATTTGTTGCAATGCAATCTATCCATTCGCCCACACGAATATATAATTAATGAAAACGAAAAAAGGTTTGTAACGTAAGTCAGATCTATCATAATGTCATGCTATCATTGATATTATCAGAAAATTTTTTTTTAATCTTTTAAGAATACCAATTTATTAAATCCTTGAAAGTCGAGACACGTTTTTTTTAATAATGAGAAGACCTTACTTACAAAAGTAAATATTTTTGAATCCTCCATCTGTTCATAGTATAGCTTAAAAAGAATTAATCTTTTGTTTCTGATAGAAACAAAGAATGTACGAATATCTGTCAACAATTCTAGCTTTTAATTTTCGAATTTTGGAATATTTTTACTTTTTTATTTCGACGAAAGTTTAGAGAATCACATGATTTAAATAAGGAAAATGTGAGATTCGTCTGACATTTCATTTTTGAATCATTACAAAAGTAAGATATTCGAAAAAATTTAGAGAAAATTATGAAGACTTGTGAAAGTGCTTTATTTTAAATTGCGAATCATGCTCAAAAATCTTAGTCGATTTCGAACTGTGGTCTATGCTCGCGAATGAGAAGTTGTAATTCGATCAAGTACCAATCAATTTCAATGAAAGTCGATTTTTTATAAAGATCGGCTGCATGATTGTTTTTTCTATTGAAAATAGTTGAAAATATTTTGAATAATTCAATACTTAATTGATATTATTTAATCGACTGCTACATTGTCTGTTATCCTTTTTATTTCTTGAATACAAACGTTCTTTTTTTTTCCACACAGAAAAGCACAAAAGAAAAAAAAATAGTCCTATTTGCATATGCTCATACATGACAACAAAAGTTTTTGTTTTTTAATTCTATAAATCTGACAGAATTTGGTTGGAAAAATCTTCAGATGATATTATATCACCATGATCACTAAGATTGTTTAATGTATGAGCAATTTGTTTAAGTTCACTACGAATAAAATCCATTGGTAAACGTAAACGTTTTTTACGACAATTTCGTAAACGTTCAATGAGATGTTGTTGTAATATTATAATACGTTCATAATTACCACCGGTTAAATTAGTTGTCGATGGAAATAAATCATTAACTTCTTTTCTTAATAAACGTCGCCAAATAGTTTGTAAAATTGTTGGTTCTTCATTACCATCTAATTGTAATAATAATAATTGACATTCATATAATTCATATTTTTGTGCATAATCAACAAATAATTCAGTTGCATCAAATAATGCGGAATCTAATTTTGTTATTGAATCTTGTATATGTTGAATATATTGTTGAAGATCTTCATTGATGGTTGTTGATGTTATTGTATGAGTTTCTAATGCACGCATATACATTTGTAAATCAGTATAAATTTGTTTTTGTACGAATGCTGTTTGTAAACGTTGTTCAAGTGTTGGAATAAGTTCAGTTAATTGTGAATCATTACTTGATTTTATTTGTTGTGATGTTGATAGTAATGTAGCACTTGTAGAACGTGCTATTTGAAGAGCTTCAGCTAAATAACATAGACGATCAGCAAATTTGACATGAGGATCTGATAAATCGATTAAATGAAGAAGAACCTATAATGAATAAAAACGTTTATGAAAACTTGATGATTAATAAAATAATTCATTTAAAATCATATAATATTTAACAATAATCTTTAGTTTCGGTTGGAACAACTGTTTTTTTCTTACAATATTCTTATTCGAAAATTTTATGATTTGATTACCAATCAACTGAGATTTGTAGCATCATAAATCAATATTCTTAAACGTAAATTCAAACTAGGTCAATAAAAAAATTCTAGTTTTAATTAAATAACTGTTTTTACAAATTTCGAAAGCAAATAGCATGTTTTGCTGTTAATGTATGAAGTGAATTTCAACAAGACTATCATGAGTTTCTCAAGAAAATCCTAATTTATAAATTTCTTTACAAGATAAAATCATATATTACTTGACATAATGTTGTGTAATCTTTGACAACTTGAAGTACAGCAATAGCAACATCAAGTGTAATATAATCATTAAAATTAGTTAGTTTCAAACGATATCTTATAAAACGTTCTAAATAAGGTGTTATTTGTCTATATGATTTAAGTTTTTCATTAAATTGTTTATTCATCATCCAATCAAATAATTTAACATGTAAAAATTCATCATCATATGATAAACAATGACGAATAAATTCATTTAATGTTAAACTTCCATCATTTGCTTTTAATGTATTATCACCATCACGTTGATAAAGTAATTCAAGTATATCAATTAATGATTGATAACATTCTGAACGTCGTTGATAAACATCAATATATTGTTGTTGATCATCTAATTGTCCATAATAATAATTAAGTGCTTGATGACATGGATCACGTTTTGAACCAGCTGTTACACAAAGATCAAGTAATTCATCATACATACGAAATGTATATAATGTCATTGCAAATGATGTTATATTAACACGATCACAAACTTGTTTATATAATTGACATGCTTGTTTTAAACGTTGATGTTGATCATTTATCGATTGATTTGTTATTGATATTGTTGATGGTTTAAGAAATAAATCAACTTTATATAAAATAAGTTTTTCAATTGGACATAATTTTGGACATTCATCAACAAGACGTCCCATTAATTGATCAAATATGGATTCATTTTGTTCATATGATGTTAATAATGCAGCTATAAGTGTATCATAAAAAAGTGTATCTAATTCAAGTAATGTACGAACTGTAAATGGACCAGATGTACCATTAAATAATGTTAAATATGATTCAGGTAAACGTTCAATTAACATATCTGTACGATGTTCATTTATAATTTGCCAAAGAGATAATAATTCAATTAAACGTTCAATCATATGACATATTGTACGATAATAATCAATTTCTTGTAAAAGATCTGTTATAGATGATAATGATGTTGCCGAAAGAAAATATTGTTGATTTGGATTCGTCGAAGTTGTTGTTAATGGTGTTGGTGTACTACCACTACTAAGATTTGGAAATGGAGAATTTATTGTTGGAGGAAAATTATGCATAGATGAACTAAAAAGAGAACCACTTGTTGGAACTGGTGGTGATGGTGATGATAATGTAAAATCAGCAGCAGGATTAATACCACCACTTAATGATGTATTTAAAGCATTTGAATGACCTAAAATAATCAATAATTTCATATAAGATTAAACTTAATCAAGATGGTTCAAATCCTAGTTATGTCTACGAATAGATCATGACAAGTAAAACTATATTTTTTAATAGATAAATTTATGAACTATTCAATCATAGTATATTGTATCGAGCTGAAACTATTTTCTACTTATGCTAAAATGTGTTTAGAATATTCTGATGAGTCGTTCTCTTTGTTGTTCACTCAAAAATATCGATAAATAAAAATCTATACCAAAAGGCGATTGTGCATAAGTTGATATATTTGGATAACTATGTGCATGATGAATAGTTTGTTGTGAATGCTGTTGTGGTGTTAGTTCATTTAAACGTCCTGTTAAAGCTGATCGAAGATATAAATTATTTGCATTCATTGTTGATATTTGTTGTTGTTGGTGATGATATTGTTGTTGTTGTGATTGTGATTGTGTTTGGATATTTTGTTGTGCATAAATTCTTTGTGCTAATTGTTCATTATATTCAGGTAAATCATCTTTATTTGACCATACACAACACATATGTGGTGCTAATTTTTTAAGAAAATATTCTAATTGTTTTAATAAAATTTTAATTTCATTATAATCATGAATTTTATGAAATATATAATAAATTGTTTTATCTTGTTTTGATAAAGATTTTAATTCAATTAATTTTTGTGTCCATATTGGACGAAGTATATCACTTAATACAAATAATATAGCATTTATACGTAATGGTATAATATAACGTTCAAAAAAATTTCTTTGTCTCATATATATTGATGGTAAAATAGGTGTTGCACGATTAAATGGTTGTTGTGGTTGTAATTGATAAAATCTTGTTTGATCTAATGATAATTGTTGTTGTTGAATAGTTTCTAAATATTGTAAATAAGCTGAACTCGAATACCAAAGAAATGTTTGAAATGCTAAATCACGTAAACGATCATCATTAATACGTGTTGTATTTGTATTATTATTATTATCTTGCATAGATGTTAATGTTAATGCTAAACTCATTGAACATGAATAACGTAATGAATAATAACTAAAAAATTGTTTCATTAATAATGAATGTATTTGTTGATCATAAAAAAGTAATAAACGTAAATGTTCAATTGTACGTGGAATATCAAATGTTACAATTGTATCATATGTTTGTATCATATAACGAATATTTTGTGCTAATGGACCAATACGTGGTATTGAAGTTTGTGTTTGAGTTAAATCAATATGTAATGGAAGAATATTTAATGTTAATAATGATATTTGTTCTTGAATAAGAAATAATTCATTAAATAATTGTGATTGAATTTCTGATGTTGGTCGTTGTTGAAATTGTTGTTGTTGTTGTTGTTGCTGTTGTTGATGACTTATTGTTGAATCATTAAAATTAGATGATAATAACGTTGTTGATGTAAGTAATGTTGAATCAGAATTTATTAATAATATCATACGACCAAATGTTTGTGGTCGATTTGAATCACTTGTAAATAAAAATAAACAATTCATATCAACATAACCTGTACGAAAGATTGGTTGTTGAGCATTTGTTTGAGGTAAATTTGGTATTGTTGGTGGATAACGTACATGAATTAATTCAAGTCGTGATTGTTGAGATTGTTGAGCTGTATTTGTAGTTGATTGTACTACTAAAATATTATATAAGTTCATTCAATTTTTAAATAATTGAGTAGATTTTGGTATTGAAATTCTTCAATTAAGCTTCTTTTGGACTCATCAAACCTTTTCAAAGTCAGATGACGCATAAGATAATTAGACCCTTACTAAATTTTTTAGGACATTCTTAAGTATTTTATAATTTGTCTTTCTTTTTTTTTTGTAAAAATATTTTGTAAATGATTTGAAATGTATTCCGTTATAGGAAAAATAAATGATTAATTTCATAGAAAAAACATGATATTTGAAAGTAGATCTGTTTTGGAAATCGAACACTATTAATCGGATTATCTTACCTGTTGGCATGATTAATGTATAATATAATCGAATACCCGTATGTGTCACTAATATTAAATTAAATAAATTTGATTCATATGATTGTACAGTATACATAGTTAGAAAAGGTCGATAATCATCATAAGCAATAGTTTGTCTTTGTTTAAGTTTACTAATTAAATCATCAAATGTATAATTAAATAAACGATGACCTTTATCTGTTGATATATCATATATATGTAATGAATCATTAGCTAAACGTGCATATAATAAAAGTTTTTGATGATCAATAGTTATTTGTTTAACAATTGTTAATTGTGAATTTGTTTGTGTTAATGAACTAATTTGAAGAAAACTTGGTACTAAATTTGATAGAAATGTTTGTCCAAGTTTATTTAATGTTGATTTAACATTTTCTTCATATATAAATTCATATATATCACCACATTGTCCACCAAGAAAAAATCTTTCATTTGATATTGATAATGTATCAAAATAACCAATTTGATTTAATGTATATTTTAATGTTGGTGTTGTATACCAACGTTGAATATTATTTGATTGTTGATCATCAATTGTATAGATTAATATATCTTGACTTGTTAATATAATAAGTAAATGAATAAAATGTTCAATAAGATCATTTGTTGTTAATATTGGTGGATATTTTGATGTTGATGTTATAACAGATGGTAACCATGAACCAAGAAATGATGTTGAATGTGTTAATTTTTTTGTTATATTTGTTGTTGTTGATTTACGACGACGAACACAATTACAAGCAAGAACAATTGAATCAAATTCTAATTCAATTAAATCAACTATTGTTGGATATTTCCATCTAAATATTTTAAAATCAAACAGATATTTTTGTATATATACATATGTCGTAAAAATTAGTTTAGTCTTTTTTTGAAAATACTCATTTTGTATTTTATAGTCCGCAAAAGTTTTTATCTAATAACGATATCATAGCGTTTAATATTCCTGAGCGTCATTTTGAATGAACAATTACATGTAAAACTGATTAAAAAATGTATACCTTAGTTCGAACAAAAAAAATCACCTCAATTTGAATTTTATGCATCGTACTACATCCATTAGTACTGAGATAACTCCATTAGTTGTTTTTTTTTATTTGCAAATATGTAGTTTACAATAAATAATCATGATAAATATTTTTATGTTTCACTTACAAGTAAAGTTTTTGATCAATTGATAACCAAAGCATATTCAGTGAAAGAATATAACCACTACGATAAACTGATGGTGTTGCTTGATTTGAATTTTGTTGTTGTTGTTGTTCAGTAATTGTTGCTGGTATGGATGTTATTGTTGCTGATGGAATACTTATTCGATTTGTTGGTTCATATGGAAATGAACGTGTGTATGAACCATCTGTACCTCCACTTGTTGTTAATATTGATGAAACTGTTGTTGATGATGAACGTATGGAATATTCAATATCGGTAAAAGGTGTCAATTGAAAAAATTCATTTAACCATGTTGAGATTTGTTGATAAAAATCACGAGTATTATTATCAAGAACATTACCAATCGGAGATGACGGTGGTGATGATGATGATGATGTGGCCATAAGATATATTTATTTTTCAAACAAAATCTGAAAAATAATTAATCAATTATTCATATCTAAGATAAATCTAAAAATAAATTAATTTTAATTTTAACCTTGAACTATAACATTTATTATCAAATAAATAATCTGATTTTGATAATCATTAATTTTATTTTATCCATGTCAAATCAGTATTCATCGACATATTTTTATTTTGAACATGAATAAATGATCTTATCAGGTTTTTACATGGAAATCTACAATAAGAATCATAAGCTTATCTTTCCTACTCCCATAAATTTTTTTGTCTATTTCTTCTCAAAAATCGATTAGTCAATCTCTTTGAAATAAACCATGCAATATATAAATTCAAATATATTCAAGCCATCGTAGAATAGATATTTTTTTTATATCCATCTGTAGGATTGAATTTATATATAGTGCCAATGACACTATGTTAAGAAAGAAAAAAAAAGCGGTTTTAATGATGACTCATTTGAATGTTGGTTTTTCTTTTTACTCAAAATAGAAATTTACATTTTATCTACCGACAAATCAAAATTTAGACTATTGCATTTCTATTTAGTACTATATCACCTTATATGATATCAACATCCATTCCTCTGTTTTGTCTACCTACTTTTGGTTATAAATATTTCTAAATTGATTGGCGACTCAGAGACTATGGGATATCACTTTAATAAAAGATGTCGCCGAGAATAAGACTAAAATGGACATACTTTTCTTTTGAACAAAAGGATTATTGTACGATATGAAGCTAGAAATTGAAATTTAGTCATTCAAAGTATTTACATAAGAATTATTATTCGTAACATTTTATCTACGAGATAGAATTTAATTATTGAATCTAGATTTATATCGAGAATCTCTGTCCATATTACAGAATTATTAATTTTTATCTAAAAATTAAATAAGTCATAACTATTGATAATAACTATCAATATATGAAATCCTGAACGGCAAGGATAAATAGATCAATGTTTTCAAAATAAATAAAATTGATAATGAAATACAGAATTCGAAAAAATGACGTTAGATGAAGTTGTGGTAAACGACTAAAGTCTCTGGTCATTCAAAATATGTAGCAGAGCTCCATTTGACTTTACTTTTCAAATATTCATTTTATTGAATTCGTTAAATAGATTCAGAACTTTTTTATGAAGATTTTTATTATATTTTTCTTTTTATCTTAGAAAAATTTTTCATATATATGACATCAAATCATCATGTTGTTTAATGTGTGGACACAAAAGAAACAAAAAAAAAATTATCTTTCCACTCAATAAACCAATGATAGGTTTTTGTTCGTACAAAAAAAAACCTAGAAGAAAACACATCAATTAATAAACATCATAAATTTAATATATTCTTTCATAAAAGATCGAATAGAGATAGATGAATTGAACAAAAACACAAAAGAGAAAAGCAATATTCATTCAAATATGAGATTAGTTTTCAAATATACATTGATCTGAGAGGAAGAAAAAACGTACAGATCACATTGCACGCTACATATATATATATAAGAAACCAAATATGAATAGTTTCAAAGTTCACAAACATCAGGAGAAAAATATATATATTCCTTATCAATACTTAATTCGTTCCATTCGTTGTCGAAGCTGGTATAATAAGTGTTGATGCCAATGTTGGTGGAGCTGGTGGTGATGATATTGATTGTTGTTGTTGTTGTTGTTGTTTTAAATGTATTTGTGGAATGTCAACATTAATTAATCGTAATAATCTTTCAACATATTGACCATGAGCCTAAAAATAAAATAAAACAAAAGAAAATTCTATACATATGTATCTTACTTCAATATCATTATGACCAGCACCATCAAGCCATAATGGTTCAATTTGATGTTGTATATGTATTCGATTATAAAGAGCAAAACCATGACTAACATCAATAACATCATCTTCTGTTCCATGTATAATTAAGACAATTGAACGTATACGATGAATTTTATCTATGGAGGGAAATGCATCACAACACCATGTTCGTTTTGTATCAGGAAATGCAACACGCATGCCTGATGTCAACGGACTATGTAATATACATGCTATACAACATTCTTTATGACGTGATGCTAAATCTATTGTTGGTACAGTACCTAATAAAAACAAAAGAATTAATTAATTATATACAAGAAAAGCTGTGAACATAATCATTGAAGGATTAAAATGTGAAACTACGATGTAGCTGCTGTTACTAATCACAGAGAGATTGTTTTATACTATCTATAATATTTTGGAACACATTTCTTCACTATCATTTTACTTAATCAACCAGAAATACAATAAGGACGTATTTCATAGATTATAACGAGATGGCATTGACATACGATTTTTGTTTGTAATATCAACAATATCTGTCACAATTTGCGATGACTTGTTACTAATATATTTGTCACATTCGTGATGAGATGTGAAAACGTTCAAACTTCTACTTCTCTATTTCAACACTTCATTTAAAGTATGTTTCGTAAAAAATTTAGAAAAAAATTCTTTCGTATTCTTACCAATACTTTGTCCATAGAGAATAATTTTTGATTCCGGAATATGATATCGTTGTTTTATTGATTTATATGTTGCTTCAATATCAGCATACATATTTTTTTCACTTGCTTTTCCTTGTGAAGCACCATAACCTGAATAATCATAACTAATTATATTACATTGTAAACGTGTACCCAAAATAATAAAAAAACTTGCCATTTGACCTTGAATACAAAAAAAAACAAATAAAATAAATAAATAAATAAATAGGTAAATATCTGTTTACCGAGATCAACAGCATTTCCATGGCTAAATAAAATATAATATTTCGGATCCGATGTACAATTAACATGCAGACATGCAATACGATTATGACGTGAAGTTGTTACAAAATATGGTTCTAATTTAGATATATCTGATTGTGAATGTTGCCATTCGGCTTTTTCAGCAAATACTATTGTATAGCGAACAGATGTATTAGCATCAGTTACAGGCATTTTCGTAGATGATGATGTTGATGATGATGATGATGGTTTTTGATCAGTAGCACCATTTGTTGATGTTGGAATATCGGTAGCTATATGTAAAGAATATGTTGGTTCAGGTGGAAGAAAAGCTACAAAAAATATATAAACATATAATAATAGAGTTCTATTTTTTTTTTCACAATAGTAATTCTTTACCAAGCTTAGCAGCTATACGTGATGGTAATGGTGGACAACAAAAAAGACAGCAAAGATCACGTATTGAAAGTGTATTCATTGTTCAAATCATCTGAAAGAAAATAAAGAAAAAATATCGATTATATCAACCTGTTTGCATAATTCCTTGTGATTGATTGATTGATTTTATCTACTTGAATGTATAGCGCATGTTATGATAAACGTTCTTTTCTATTCATATAATCTTATATGTTCATGGTATGAGGAAAAAAAGACTAATGACGAATTCTTTTCTTCATCGAGATAAAGTAAAAAATATGTAATCTATTTTTATTTTTGAAAAATGTAAAAGACTATCTTTTTGACAACCTAGTCTTTGAATCATACTCATTTATTTCAGTGACACAAAGCGGAAAGGAGCAGCGCGATGTAGAAAATAAAATGCATGACAGAATAGATTTCTTTCAATAAAAGTACAATTAATCAGAGGTCTGTCATAAGCATTGTTTCCTTCTATTGAACGTGCTTGTCTTACTAATCTACATTGATATAAACGGAGAATAAAAAGAGGGATGAACAATTTCTATAAAGGGTAAGTACATATATTGCCAACTTTGAGTTGCTACTGAGAATTGATTACAGATATAAGAGATAGAAAGGAAAAGAGATGCTTCCGCTCCATTTCCTTTTGTATTCTTATCATTTTCATCTGGAAAAGAAACTGATGTAGTATATTGTATCTATACTATTTTTTTTTCTTTCCATAAGACACAGACTATAAATCAATGTACAACGATATTGACCGTTCTTTGTTGTCTTACGATATACAATTATATCGTCACTAGACAAAAAATACTTTAGATAGAAAAAACAAAACAATATATATTCATATTGACATACTCTTAGTATCTTATTTCTTTGTTTTTTTTCCAAATAACCAACCGATTACATAGGACTGATAAAAAGAAAAACGTTATACACACAAACAAACAGATAATCACATACATATATGTAAATTACGATAGATTTCCTAAAGAAAATAATCAGGTATAACACGTTTTGTTGCTGATGAACGTTGATCTTGTGGTGCTGCTTCAAATATTGTAAAACTACGATTAAGATGTTCATCTAGTTCAAGTATAGCAGCAACATTTCCACAACGATAACAATAATTAGGTGCTGACCATACTGTTAAAACTGTTTCATTAAAATGCCATTTATAACCTTCCATAACAAGTTGATGTGCACGACAAATTAAATCAATATTATTTGTTTGATTAAATTGTGATACAACATCACTACCAAATAAATAACCAGCACCACGTGGACTAACACCCCAACCAAGTGTTTCTTCTGGATCAGACCTTAAATTTTTTTATTAAATAAATATTTTATTTGAAAGAAAAAAAAAACAAAAACAAAAAATTTTTACCATAAAAGATCACACATAGGTCCATCATGGGGTACTTCCATTTTTCTATCAATTTGTCGAATTTGATCAAGTGTATTTATTGATGGACTAAGACCACCATGTACACAAAAAATTTTTCCATCAATAACAGCGGATAAACTTAAATAATCGAAAACTTCTGTACAATAACGCCATACCATAATTGAACCATATTTTCTTAAACATTCATCATAAAAACCATAAACTTGTGTAATTTGACGAGATTCATGGTTACCACGTATTAATGTTATTCGATCAGGATATCTTACTTTGAGTGCAAGTAACAATAAAAATGTTTCAACACTATAAAAACCACGATCAACAAAATCGCCTAAGAATAAATAATTTGTTTGTGGAACATCACCTGCAAGGATAAGAAAAAG